TGTTGAGAATTTGAAAACAAATGATATATCATGGTATATTGAGTAGATATGAGGGTAAGAGGAGTGCTTAGTGTGTGTCTTTCTATATATGTCGGAAGACAGCATATTGTGTGGTTGCTTGAGAATTTAGTTTTGGTCGTAGTGGGAGGAAGAAGTAAAGCAGCGAACCACTCCCCCTGTGTGTTGTTATGAAGTGATGGGAACGAAGGAAGGGGGTGTTAGAAGGTTGTGGATGAAGCGTCCAGTCTTATCAATAGAATTAATCTGTGGACATAACAGATTTTAAAAATGCATCATCTGCCTCATTGTACTTCTGCTCTATGCCATAACTATTTAAATGATGATTTTATTGTGTCATGATAATAATTAAAAGATATGCCAGATGGAAACTGAATACACAATACTAAAATAAACAGAAAAATAAAAATAGATTAATGTAACAAAAATAAATATTTGGAGATATTTCAAATGGGTTTTTTCTTCTTTTCAGCCTTTCAATCGTGGAGCAATGAGACAGTGCTATCGACTGTAAGTACCAACTTCTGTATTTCTTGTTTAGATGACTTACTAGTAATAGTGCACCTTATTCACTGTTTTAGCTTGCCTATCCTGTGTCATGAGTAAGGCTCTGTCTCTGTGTGGTACCCAACAGGATCTGCCATATGGCATGCTAGGAACCACACTTGTTAAAACCCAAAGTTTTGAACCAAAGTCACATGCCATGTTGTTGCTCAGCATTGAATAAATAAATGAGTTTATTAATACTAAGGGAACTATTTTATACAACAGGGATCCATGTGTGATCTGGTGGATCATTGGTAATTTAAGTTTTTACAGGGGTATTTTTTGAAGGTGTCAACTTACATGTCTTTGGTTTGACTGTTTGTAGATGGGTTGAAATTGATGCATCATGTTTATGGTTATAGATAAGTATATTTTTTAGTTTTATAATGATGATGAAGAAATTAACTTAATATTCTCGTCAGAAATACAAAAAAGTAATACTTGTGAAATGCAGGTGTTCTGGCATATCCTTTTACAGTGCATTCCACACAGTTGCATGCTAGGGCATGTTAGTATATAGTGCTCCAAACTACATGGTATCATGGTAGTAAACATATGGCATCTCACAAACATTCTCATATATATTATCACCTTAGCAGGCCCATGTTACTGATTTTAAAAAATGTCTGTACCTATTTTATTAAGGGAGTTAAAAGTGTAAATGAGACCACTGTAGATAGAAAAAAAAATTGGAGTGTCTTAAATGATAATTAAAAGAAAAAGTATTGCCATGTAGCAAACACAGATCTAGGATGGGTGTGTGTTAGGGGTTGGGGCACAGGGAATTTATTTCCGCTAATTTTCTTCTCTCCTCACCCCTAGCAATAAAGTTTTCAATCTGACTGTGTGCACAAATTTCGGTACACCATGTGCTTTTTTCCATTCAGTAGTCAAGCTGGTCTGAGATCAACCTTGAATTGAGCCCATGGCCTGATGTCATGTCATTGCAGTGCACTAAGCTTGACACAGTTAAATGATATGTCAGTTTTTATGTACAGGTGCCAAAGTCCTTTTTAAAAAATAAAAATACCTTTACTCCATAGAGCTATATATGCAACAGTTTCACATTTTTTGCATTTGCTTACACACACACACATACACACACACACACACACACACACACACACACACACACTGAGTGGCATTTTTTCCATCTGTAGTCTAAATTACTGTCTTGCTTTTTGTTTGTCATTTGCAGTGATGTCCATAAAACCCTTATGTAACTTGCTTTTTGCATAATGGAATTGCTGTTTCAGAGTGAGTGCGAAAAAAAGTGAAATAAATGGTTTGTGTTGTGAACATGGTAAATGGCAAGGACAGTGGACAAAGACCTGTGGAAACTAGTTGAAAAGCTACAGGAAACTCCATCCCTCATTCTGTCTCTTCCACCAATACATGGTTGCCTGTAATATCTCCCTTGTCTGAAACACTTCCTTGTCAGTGCTGCAACATTACCACAATATTATGTACATTGTCAATCTATCTATTGAAAACTTGGATTAGTGACATTTTCTTAATGGGTAAAAGTAAGATAAAGATTTAACATCATCAGTATTTGCCCTATGCCTGTCTACTTCCCAGTTAGAATGATAATAGATCTCTGACAGTATTTGGTGTTGTGTTAGATTCTGACAATGTCTATGTTTGCTGGTTAAGTTTTATCTGATAATGTAACTGAACCATCACTGCACAAAGACCAAAAAAACAAACAAACAAAAAATTGTTCCCTCCTTTCTTTAATTTTTCTGAGCCAGCCATGTTTGTTCATAATCCATCTTCTTTCTTGTCTTTGCTTCCAAGTTAGTTTTTGTCTTGGTTGCACATTAGAGATTTTCATCTTCGAGCTTCACAGGTGATGTGGTGATGTATTGGTTATGTAGCAGGCATCCAGTGCTGATGGAGTTGGAATTTTTTTTGTAAAGGTGTGACTCAGACATATTTGTGTCATTACATGATATTTCCAACTTGATAGTTAGACCACTCATCCAAGATGTTTCAGTGCCCAGTATGGGGGAAACCCAGGTCTACTCTTTGTATTCTAGTATTGTAGAGAGATCTAGAGAGGTTGCTGTTCCCCCCCTTTTTTTTCAAACATACATGCGCAACTTGCATTGGAAAATCTAGTTCTTACTTTTTGCTAGCCTGGTTTCAGTACACTTAAATAAAATAAAAAAACTCAGCAAATCATATATAAAAAATCAACACAGTACTTATATGGTGCAGAAGACCGAAACAGTGTGGAAATTTCCACAGAGCCTAGTAAATAGGATGAGATGCATTATATAGGTCAAAAGTACAAATCTAGATGTAAACAAACGCCTACTTCCACACATATAGACATGACAGCTGTACGTTACATTATATATAGATATATTTGGAGAATCAGGGACATGTGTTATTGTTAATGTGTAGAGGTGTACTTAAATAATCATCAAAATGTGCTTTGTGTCATGTAGGCAGCTGTACAGGTACACAAGCCTGCAAAGGGAAAGTATTGTGTGTATATGTGTATCATATGTCGTAGTGTTCCAACAAACAGACCCAGACTGATATTATGGGTTTTTTTTTCAACCAACAACTGATTTTAACCAAATCTGTAATAAATTGGTACAAATTTCTATAATATATCTCATATCCATTAGCCAAATCAAATAAGGTTAAGGATTTTGGAATCATATTTTTAGAGAAAAACTGTTCAGTAATGTTTTTATGAAAAAAGGATGTAGTCTTCAGTTAGAATTTTTAAAGTTTGCACAAAATTTTGCCTTTGTGAATCTAATGTAAATTCAGAATCTTCGGGTGATTGAAGAAAAAATGTAAATACTAAACTGTTCCATTGGCGTAAAAATACTGATAATGTTCAAACTGATATATATATGCCTTAAAGTACAGTGGGCAGTTGATCAGTTAGGTATTAATGTTATAGTTCAGTTAGAATACACACTGAAAGGTCATTTAAAGGTACACAGTGCTGAAAAGTTTAGTCCGCCAGAAATTATTTGTTTAGGTCAGTCAGGAATTAGGCTTAGGCTTAAGCATTGGGCATTCTGGTAAACAACATGTGATGGCCTGTAGATCGGTGCCTGGGATTATCGATCCACTGACTCTAAAAGGGTTCTCCAGCTGACAGTCATACATCAGTGATTTGAAGTAAGAGTGACATTATATCCATTATGTAATTCTGCAAGGAGAATAATAACTGTAGGTTCTTGATTGCAGACAAACACCTACGGTAATGTGCCAAGCATTTCGACGGGCCCAGTCAATCCGACCACAAAAATTATTTTATAAAATTAATTTTTCTGGGCTCAAACAATTAGTCCATACGTCAAAATCATGGGGCAGAATTTTTTTCTTGTTCCGATTGTTCGACCACATCGTCGACAAGACTCGGTAAATTTTCAAGCCAGTGAAATAGATGCTGCATGCTTCGGCCCTTTGTCAATTGTTGTCCTTTCAATAGCTCTCATCAATGAGGAAGAAATAATTAACTGAAGATCTAATCTGGAAGCATGACGTACCTGTCTTTTCCTTTGCCCCCGATGACAATAATAGTGCTTATAGACATACAAATTTTGCTAATTAAGCAGACTTGCCCTCACTGACTGATTCATCACGCNGTTTTTTAAATAAAATACTTAACAGTAATTTGAAGTTACACCGATTTCCGTTTGAGTACCAGTCGGTATTCTTTGATACGGGTGATTGAATTTTCTTCGGAAGTACGTACGTGTACGCCTCGACGCTGAGCAAGCCTTGCGGGTTGAAAACAACTGATCTCAGACTGGTAAAAAATGTCAATACGGTTGATTTCAGTTGTCATATTAAAATTCAAATAGGGCGTACGTAAATCACATAACTAGTTTAAGTCCACTAAAGCTACCGGTTTCAAATATAAGTGACCGGCCTTTGTTTACAACACCTGTCTTCGGGGAAATTCTCGTCCCACTTGTGAAGCGCATCATGAAAGTGATCGTAGGTGAGGGAAATATATAATTAAAAATTATTATTGTCGTCTTTTTTAATGTTAAGTAATGTTAGCACATATTGTACACAGCAAAATAAGATTTCAGGAGGATAAAACATGCCTGAAACACGTGTTAGGCGAAAATTGCGGCTTATCTTGCGTAACACTTCCAGTAAAATGCAATACTTCCGGAAAGATGGACGTTTTGGCAGATGCCCCTAACAATCCGACGATATCAAAGGTTTCCATTTGCTGTATTTTAATCAATTCGACCAAACTGACATTTCCATGAAATTAATTAATTAATCTTGGTCGAATTGTTTGGCATATTACCGTATTGTGACCATATTGCCTTCAAGAATGTAGAACCTATTTTAATAAAATTGCTGCTGTACATGTGCCACAGTCATGAATCCTCCCCACTGTGTATAATACCTTCACACAAGCACTACTGATGTAAATGTTTGCTCATAAAAAAATAAGCTGGTAAATGCATCTGCACAATCACTGCATAGACAAAAATTGATTGTGTTCCCACCTTTAATTTTTTTAAAATAAAAAATGGCAAATGTATATTCATGTACATCATTAAATTTTTATGAGTATGATAACTTTAATGGCGCAATTATAATTTAATTTATGTAACTCATCTCTCTAAGAGAATTGTTGGATGGAAGGAATGTTATGACTGTGATAGCTATAGTGGATGGTGGTAGTAGAATTAAATGTGATATCAACAAGAAAGTTTTTCTATAATTCCAGCAAGAAAATGTCCACCCTGTCTCTCTCTGGAGACTGGAGGCATGCTTCAAATTATGTCGCCAAGAGGTACATGGAGGATGTTGACAGAGAGGTTTACTTTGAGGATGTTCGTCTACAGATGGACGCAAAACTCTGGGGAGAGGAGTATGATAGACACAATCCACCTAAGAAGGTAAAAAAAATACAGATGGCAGCACTGTTGATCATCGTACCCTGTTAAGGGTCTCGTGTTTTTTACATAGAATTAATTTGTATTTGTATGAGAAATGAAGGTAAGTATTCCATTCAGAAACTCCTTAGAAAGTATTGTATCATATTTATTTATTTATTTATTTATTTATTTATTTATTTTCTGTACATTGATATAGTATATTCAGCTAAATCACTGCAGAAGTGGCAGGATGCTTAATGAAACTCCTACACTCACAGCAAAGTGACAGCATTGTGGTACTGTATAAAATGAATTATGTAATGTATATAGATCATGCAGGTTATATCAAGAATATAAATTGGTCGACTTTCAGACCAATTTTACTTGCCTGTAGCAGGGTTTAGTTTGACTACAAAATTTTTATGCTGTCCTAATTTCTTAACTTTTAATTAATTTGTTGCAAGTTAAAATGTTTTATAAAAAATTTTTATAGACCAACTAGGACTAGATTTAAGTGTGAATTTTCTAGTCATCTATAATGTTTTGCCATTTCTATAATGTTTTACATTCATTAATCAATACAAATGTCAGAAAAAAATTGTCTGGAAGTCCCAAGTTTTTGTAGTCTTTTGCAGATTATGTCACATTAAGGCAAAATGTTAACAGCCATTCAGCCTGAAAAATCATGGGCCTGAAATGGAACTTATTTATGACATTAATGTTATATTTATGTTATATTTATGACTTATTTATGTTTTACCATCTCTGTCTACATGTTATTTTGTCTAAGAGGTTCAAGAAGGCTGCATGACAATGCACTGTTATTGATACGCTTCCTGTTATGAATCCCTTAATGGCATTAGTGAAGAGTCCATAGTTTGAACTACATGCGAATCAGACTGCTGAATAAGACATTTGTATTGATCCATGCAGGATGTTGCTCTTCAACTGTGTGGAAAATGTTGAAAATAGACGGAATATATCAAATTGAACGCCAAATGTATCACCTGAGAAATTACAAGAGAAATGTCCACCTGTGTATACTTCTACTTGTTTGAAAGCATTTTGTTTTCATAAGCTTCATTTTTCGAGCATGTTTTATGTGCCCGTTTGAATTTTTGTTTCATTCTTACATAGTGAGGAATTGATACAAGAACATTTATTTTCCATTGCAGTGATTTCTTAACTTGCTAAGGATTACTGATTATTCTGAATTTAAACCTTTCTCTCACAAATGCAAATATAACATGAAATAAAGGCAGTTTTCAATTATTTTTACTCTCTTCCTTCCAGGTTGACATATTCCAAATGTACGTTCTGGAGTTCAAGAACCGTGAAGGCTGCCCTCTTTACCATCTGGAGCACTTCATAGAGGGAAAATACATCAAATACAACTCCAACTCGGGCTTCGTAGAGGAGACATCACGCCTCACACCACAGGTGAGTGTGCTAGTGATTTTACAGGTAAAAAGTACCATTGATTTTTGAGACATATCACAGCTTTGCTATTGTGCTTAGCTGTATGTTGTACAAAGCCGTGGTTAGTTACTCAGTAGCTATACCAGGCAGCTTCCACCACCATAAAGTTAACATTATGTACTGGCATATGACCTGAAAGCACATTATGACTTGTTTACCTTCGCCTGTTAGGCTCTTAGATCATCTGCACAGGTATTTTAGAACAGGTGGGAAATATTGGGAGTCTAGACCACCTGGCGCTGATCCTTCAGCATTGGCAACAACAGTATGAGGAACGGGATGGTACTAATGATAATGTGTCCACAGTGGTCTGAGGTTTATGACCTTCACTGAAGGTCATGACCTTCTCTCAAGGTCATGTAGGAGTAATGAACTGAAAAGACTTGTTTACTGTTTTGCTATGTGAAAGAAGTATATTTGTTATTTGATAATCCACATTGTTTCAGTGTTTAGATGTATTTAATGAATTGCTTTTTGAAGCAATTTCTCATTTGACCTGTTTGCAAGACTTTTGTATGTAGATGCTTTTGATGTTGAGAAGTACTCGCAAAATTGCTTGCAACTTGCAACACAGGTAGAAACAATATTGTTATTTTTACTGCGGGGTATTTTGAATTGCCTGATTAAAAATAATTTTATCAGCAGGATTTAAGTTTCTTAATTCTGCTTTATAGACTTACCTCTTTATATGCACATATAGTACACTTAGACATGCATTTATCCTTCAAAAATGATAGATGTTTTTACTCATGACACCAGATATGGTGCAGCCATATTTTTGATATATTACTTGTACCTTCTTCAGGCCTTTAGCCACTTCACATTTGAGCGTTCTGGTCATCAGCTGATTGTAGTGGACATCCAGGGAGTGGGTGACCTGTACACTGACCCTCAGATACACACTGCTGGAGGTGAGTGGACCCAACCAGCTGTCAAGGCAAACAAGGCATATGCTGTATTTTAACAGTAGATGTAATGTAATTTAACTGCAATGCATGGTGATCATGGAGCTTGATTAGTATTGTCAGCTGTTTAGGGACTTTTTAACAGTCCCGTGACTCCTGTAAAAATGTAACTTGGTGGTTATTTAAGACTCAGTGATTCCATGTTTCAGAGTAAAATTATAAAAGACGATGTTGAATAACAGCAGATGCCTTTGATTTGCCTAGTTGGGCATGATGTTTTAAAATGTATCACAGCTTTTTGTATGTTGACTTTGTCTGTAGAATGGCTCTGTTTTATCTGTACAGGTAAGTAAAATAAACAGGGGAAATCTGAAATCTTAAAGTTTGCTAACATAAAGTTTGAAAGTTTGAGTATCCTGTCTCCCCGGATCAAAGGAAAAGAGCAAAGTCATTGTGCATGATGCAATTTTTAATTTATTAAGTTGCCATTGTAAAGAAATTAATATGGTTTGAATATGTTTTTTTATTTATTGATGTATTTATTTTTTATGATCTTTAATATTTATTTTTATTTTTTTCATCAGACTTTAATTTTCATTAGTAAACTCATAATTTTCATTTCTTGGTGTTTTTTCTTCAGCATATGATCTTTCTTCTGGTAGGTACATATTGCCTGTGTGAGGAAGCTGAGCCTTGTTTTTATTTTCCAATCTCTTTGATAGTTATTCCGAATAAGAGTGTGCTTATATTTCACCAGCTGTGCTACTGATAACTTGTTTTTACAGTTTGAAGTTATCTTAATTCCATAGTTACTTAGATGATGTTTTCAAGAAAGTTTGAATAGGAAGGTAGTTTTAGAAATAGCCCCTCCAAACAAAAAATGGTCAGTGCTGTTTTATGTTATATCCAGTAGAAATTTGTAGAGGAGTGATTGGGAAACTGTTTAAAAAATAAATTGGAAGAGGGGAATATTGGTGGCTGCTTGATATCAGGCTGAGCATTAATTCCTGTATTGTTGAGTTTTTTCAAGCTTTTATGACAAACTGCTGCTTTTCTAAATGTTTAAAATGGTACATGTGAACGCATGACATATGGATATGGACATGGGTTCCACAAGTATTCCTGGACAAAAAAAGCCATACATTACCCTGTACCTATGTGTGATTTATTATTATTATTATTATTATTTATTTTTTTATTTTTTGCAAATTTTATACATGTGCACTCAGTAAAACATTTATCCTTGTCTTTCTTGCTATCTATCTCTCCCACCATCTTGTTTGCCTTACATCTCCTCTTGAATAACTTTGAAGATAATTTACCAGATAAATTGAATTTCCAGTACAATTTTTTTCTCCAGATAATTTGGGTTTTGTGATTTCATTTGAAAACTTTCACAGTTCATAAGACACATTAACATTATCTAATGATTGGCACTTTAAAGAAAATAATGACCACCAGATTGGAATAATTGAATATTGCTTGTATTCTGCACATTCTCATCTTAAAAGAAAAACAGAAGAGAGTAATTTATCTAATATTAATTATTGATTTGATATAATCTTTAAACCTTTATAAAATCTTTAAAAATGATATGATGCAAACTTGTTTCCATATATATACAAATAATACCATTGCTATTAAGTTTTCATTTGTATAGAATTTTCATCAGTAGTTTGAATGTTTTTATGATGAATTGAATCAGCAGTTTTACTTATATAACATATACTAACCAACTATGCTTGTCTTTTCTCAGGTCATGAGTATGGTGATGGTAATCTGGGCCCGAAAGGCATGGCTCTTTTCTTTCACTCCCATGTCTGCAACAGTATCTGTGAGAGTCTCAACCTCAGCAAGTTTGATCTGGCAGAGAGTGAGAAGAAGCTGCAGCAGAAGTACATAGAGTTGATGGTAAGAGTAATAGTTTGGCTGAGTTTTTTTTTTTTTTTTTTTACTAAAAAAATGCAAAATTAAACAGAATGATAAGTGGTTCTGTAGTGAACAATCTGGTAACAGCCTGTATAATTGACCATAAATGTATATATAAATAGGTTTGTGCCTGATATTACAGAAAGATGCCACTACTCACACTAAAGGCAAAGAAGAGGTATGTCTAAGTGCTTCCCCACGTGACCAAAAAAATTTGCACGAGTTTCTGCGAAAGCGTACTGTATCTGGCACTTCCATTGGATCTGATGGCGACAGTGACTTGCTGAGTCCCCGCAGCCTAGAGGATGAGCCGATGAGTGCTGATGCTGCAGACAAAGCCCATCTTGGCATTCGCTGGAGTATCAGTAGCTCGCAGAGCGAGTCGTCTCCTCGCAGTAGTGAGCCTCCTAGTGCATCCGACAGTGGTACCATGACTATCGTAAGTGGGATTATTTTTGATTTAGTTCAACAGATAAGGCTCTTCATCTAAAAACTGTAATATATGTATGATTATTGGGCTTTGACCGTCAGTGGCAAGTTATACTCTGAAATTTACCACTCATACAACTACATGTGACATCATGTTATTATATTCTCTCATTTTGACAGGAGGAGGAAAGGTTGGAGTTTTCTCGTGCCGTGAAGCAGCTCTCCAGACCTTCCTGTGTGATTCATGAAATTCAGAGACGCCACACTTGCAATGGTACCAGGATGGATGACTCTGTTTTAGGCCAAGTAAGTTTACAGTACACATGTACAATGCTGACCTATGACAGGCTGTAGTACAGGTTAACACTTTTTGACATAGCACTGGATTCATGCTACTTGCAAGTAAAATTAAAGACGAACCAGTATCGTTTTGTTAATCTGTTCATTTACCGTCCTCCTATCTGCTTTTGGCCAGTTTGTTCTTAGACCCCTTTGACTTGAAGGGCCAATTTGCTAAAGGTTATATATATATATATATATATATATATATATATATATATATATATATATATATATATATTTTTTTTTTTTTTTTTTAATGAAAATCAGAATCAAATTATTTCTTAAGGTTATCAGAATTTCCATAACTATTTTGTTTTGTGAACACCCAAGTTAAAGGAAAGGCTGGATATGATTATCACATCAGCTAGGATTTTTAAGTATGTATATAATTGAAATTCCATACATTCACAACCAAATATTTCACCTCTCTCTTCATTCACCCAAGGTCCACCACGAACTGGCAAAGTACCATGAGATCGGTCGCTTCAGCACCAATGGTGACACCTTCAACCCAGAGGTGGACTGGCATGCAGCACTGTTCCATGAAGAGATTGCTGCCCAATGTGGCGTGATGGAAGCCATACTCACCATGGCCAAGATCTATCTACAGATGCCACACGACGTGTTGCAGGAGTGCAATGTGCAGGTGAGTGACTCGTGACATAGCGTCTACACAGTTGTTGCCTAATCTGAGTGATGTACCACAGCTTGCTGCTCCTGAGAGATCGCTTTTCCCCAAATTCTGCATTATGATACTCATGAACACCATCAACTTGATAGTTTGCTCAAACTGGGCAGAAGAATTTTTTTGCCAGAAATGAAAAAGATATTATATAAAATTCATCATTGCACATAATGTGCATATCATACCTCCAGTAGATATTTGTGTCTCATAAATGAGGTATATCACTAGGCTTGATTTTTAGGTAAACATTGTGTCACTGTGGGTTTGGCTCACATATTGTATGAGGTAATTAGTAAGAAGTGGCAGTTAGGGAAATACAGACTTATGGCTGATCTAATGTGACTTGATCTTCAATCCACCATGGAATTAATTGGGGGGAAGAGGGGAAATATTGGCCACTAGGAAAAAAGGGAAAAAAAAACAAGGAGATAAATTTGATGGAAACAGTTCTAAGTATGTTGGTTATCATTCAGGAAAATGAGGACAATCTAAACCGTGGAGTTGACTACATGCTGCAGGCAGCAGACGCTGGGGACAGGAGTGCTATGTTGTACATGGCCAAGGCTTATGAAACTGGCATAGGTTTGGGGACTGAAAGGTAAGAGGTGAATTATGAAAAAAATGACACAATAATGACTTGATCTCCGGGAAGTAAATTTAACATTTGGAGCCATAAATTGGGAACATTTTCTTGACAACTTAAAAGTATACAATAAAGATTTAAGACCAATGAAGTACATTTAAACCAATGTAGTGTGAAAAAGTAATTCTTTCAACATTTTTAAATAGATGGCAAGGGCCATGTTTTTTGTAATGTTTTTTTTTTTCTTCATGGATATACATATAAACCTATCTGCAGTAAAATATATTTGAAGGCCTTATAACTGCAAATACTGATTTAATATCAGTATTATGTTACGTTTCAGGAGCCGATGTTTTGTTGAGGCTATAGAGTTCTACGGAAAGGCTCTGAAAATGACAGAGAATGATGAAAGTGGGTCATTTGATTCTGCCATGGAAGAGCCGCGCCATCTGATATTGGCTAAACAGGCAGAGTTGTACAGACAGGGGGGTCTTAATTTGGAAAAGGATCCTCTGAAATCAGGTATAGACCTTTTCTGATTTGAAAACAGTTCTTTGGAATCATGTGACCTATGAGGTCAATGTTGGGACGATTGCATGCCTAGGAGAAGAATCAGCCATTTGCTTGGCAGTTCTTGCCGATTCTCATGTTAAGCAAACCTTTTGGCATGATTACCTGTTAACACAATCAAAAGAAATCCCTTTGGCTTCCTTTAACAATCTAGCTGTCATACATGTAAAATCACTTGTCATTTGGAATAAAGTTGTAACTTTTTATCAACAGCTAATGTTGAAATTGTATCTTATATCTTACAGCTATCATAATTTGTGATTTTTAACAGAAATGATGCAGTTTTTCAAAATATTGAACCGAAAAAGATTAACAATAAAGTTTATATCCTCTAATGGTATCAGTATATTGGCTGCTCGTGCTTTTCAGTATTTGTCAAAAAGATAAGTTAACCAGATGAAGTGAAAACTTATTATTGTAAATAAAATGGTTTAACTGCATGTAATATTAACATAAATGTTTGTTTCCTCAAAGGTGAACTCTATAATGAGGCAGCAGAGGCGGCCATGGAAGCCATGAAAGGCAGGCTTGCTAACAAGTATTACGCATTGGCAGAGGAAGTGTGGGCAGAATGTGAAGACGTTGAAGAATAGATGGTGCTCAATTACAAGATGGGACAAACTCACCTGGGTTAAGTTTTTCATAAAGGTGATAACTCTCTGCAGGATCATGTTCTTTTTATTTTTGATCTTATTTTTTAAATACTTTTACTGTTAGGTTAGAACTTCAGTACAATGGTTATGGTTTAAAAATTCATTTTAAAGAGAAATGTAAGATTGTCCCTTAATTTTAGATTTATTTTATTTTTTAAACAGAACTGGTATATTTTAAGTTTTCAAATTTAAGCAAGCAATATTTAAAATTAGCACGATTAATAAAAAAGGACAAGATCGACAATTTTACTTAAATTTAACCATAAAAATTCACCTTTGAATACTGAAATGAATTTTTTTAATTCCAAACAAAAAAAGGAAAAAGATAATATTAAAGATCTTCAGAAAGTGGCTTCCTCCTAAAGGTTATTCAGTGCTTCATGATTTGATGTATTGCTTTATTATTGCACTTTTTTTAATGTGAGTGAGATTATGTTGATAATATTTCAGGGGAAATGCTTTTAATCATTTATGATTTCAATTGTGGCACATCTGAAGCCGTTTTTTTATTTCATTGTGATAATGTGCAGCATTGCTGATGTGGTGATTTTGAATGATCTAATAAGGCTTGTGGACATTTTGAGGTGTGGAAAACAAGCACATGATTGCAAATGAAAGATATATCCCTATGGGAGTTGGAAGTTGCAACATCTTTAGTGTATCTACTAAGCTGTAATGAGCACATGTTACCTTTGTATTGAAGATATTCAACAAATACATTGATAATCTCTTGTATTCTGTAAAAAAAAAAAAAAAAATACAACAAAGGGCAGTCCTGCTGTGTACAAAATACCTCAAAATTGCGATCTGGTCAGTTGTACTTCACCTGATATGAAATGGAAATATCACAAGTGAAAACAGTTTTTATTTACTCTGGCTGGATAAAAAGCATGTCTAGTCTTGGAAAGTTGTTTTAGATTTACAATGTCATGTGACATTAATATATATTTTAGAAACTTGTATGAATACGTCTGATGTTTTTATGTTCACTGAAAGTAAAAGTGAGAATTTGGTTAATTTTGTAAATAAGTCATTCAGAAAAATTTGTCAGACAAGTTTTAAGTGATTTTATGTACTGTGTACAGGTTGTGACCCAATGGATGACTTGGGTATTCATCATCACCTTTGGTATTTGATCATTTGTGTGCATTCAGACCAATTTTAAATGAAAACTTTAAGCGTAAAACACATCCACGAGTGACTTAATTAATCCTCCATTGATCCTGATATTGAAGACATCTCTTCTTATTTGCAAAACGGCCTGGAGATAATCTGACAAAATACAGCAAGGTATGGGGGATTGAAAGCAGTGCCACTGGGCTTACTGTTTGTAAATCTCTGGCTATTAGTAACTGAATTTCTTTGGAACAGGTTTTAGTTGAAATTGATCTGAATGCACTTGAAGTTTTATCTTGATCTCTTTCCACTATTGTTACGATCTGTAACTTTCAGCTCAAGTCTTTGCCTGTACATATTTATAACATGTAAAAGCACATTGGGACTGTAAATTACTGCAATACGTTGTCAAAAAGCACACTTTATCTGTTTTAAGTGTAGATGTTCTTATTTTACTCCATTTATTTTATGCAGACATTCACTATGCTATTTGACAAGAATTATAGGTTATAGGTTCTTGTAAACATTTATGCATCTGCCTTTGGTAGACTTCTTTATTGGACAAAACCCATGTTTATTTTATATTATACAAAAAAGCATTCAAATATGACTGATAAATTATTTTGGTCAATAGCTGAGAGTTAGCTTGCTTTTCTGATAGTGCCATTAGAGTGGTGATTTTTTAGTCAGTTTTAATAGAAAAATTATGCATAATTTTTATCGTCTCGAGCATTCCTCGTGTTTTTATTGGTGTGATGTCTGACTACTCACTGCCAATTAATGTTCTTGTATATAAATACCCATGTGAAATATTGGTGTCGAATCATTGAAGCGGGTCCTAAGCAAAACCATCCTTTTATGTGGTTCTTTCCTATTCAAATATGCAGTTACATGTATTAATGTTAATGAAAAACATTTTATTGAAAGCTTGAGAAATGTTTTGGTTATCATTTGTAAAAACTTCCAATAAAGTTTTAATAAGGCACATGTTACAAAGGATAATAACCAAGTCATGACACATGGGGAGTTGTGATATATGGTGTAACACTCGCTTTCCCAGGCCAGTAATGACGCTGTGTTAAGGTGGTCACCTTCTAAGCACGATTCAGTGCATCTGGCAAACATGGTTTTGCAGCCAGTTTTAGTGGAAAGTTCTTCTAGTATGACTTTTTGTAGTTACTGGAACGTTCTACAATTTTCCATACTGTGAATAAAATGTGGAAAAAGAAATTGAGTTATCAGTGTGTTTTTTTTATTCAATGTACAGTACAGATACTGGAAACACAGTTACTTGGAAAGGATGTAGAAAACTTAGTCATAGTACGACTTGTAAAGCCTGTGATGGGAAACGACTTACTACTTAAAACCAAAGGAAAAAGATTAATCTTTAAACATAGACTGCTTGGCAAGAAAAAAAAAACCAAGAAGGTTACATGTACCTCTCTTTAAAAGGGCCATCTTGTGTCAAGACTATGGAGCTGTCCCAAATATGTGTTGCAGTATATGAGTTACATATTTTAGCTTAATATGTTTAATGTTCTTAAATATGATTACATCAACAATAAGAAATTAATAAATATTTCGGTAAAGTAAAAACTTGAAAACTTGTTTTGAAATGAATGTCCACTTTGTAATAATACGAAGCACGTGTATTATTAAGTCAAAATTTAGCTATAAAAGTGTTAGCTGGCCCTGGGCAGTTACTATGTTAATATGTTGTAACGATCAGAATATATATATATAATTCCGACAGCATTGAGTCGGCACAGAATTAGGTCATGCAGCATTTCGCAATGAGGGATTTCAAGACATTTATTATGAACTATTGATTAAATAATCTGTGTCAGCCAAGAACTACCAAAATCTTTATGTGTAAAATCATATAGATTCGCCTTTCTTGTCTTATAAGACAGTAACTCCTCATTCATATTGCGCTCTACCTGTTATCATTTGCACAATACGTAGCTCCGAGCAGTGCGCGAGCAGTCTTCCAGTATAGTCATTTGACAGCTGGGCCGTGTTAGAAGAGGACACAGCATAGCTGTGGTGAAGTCACTACAACCAAGGAGTTATAACTCCTTGCTACAACAAATGTTCCTTTCAGCGTTGAAGCAAATATATCTTGTGAGTAACATTTCTTCTATAGCCAAGTACTAAAAGTGAATAAGAGTGAAAAAAGTTACGTATTTATGTGCATTACTCAACAATGTGATGCGTGCTTGTATCGTCGGAGAAATATGGCTTGCATATTAAGAGTGTCACAAGCTTGTTTTATTTCGAATATTTATGGAAAGGTCGAATGTACTCTTTGCAGTTTAGAAGATAGCATTTTCTAAGCACCAAGGCCGCGTCTTACAATTTTTTTCGTGTTTCTGCGAAATCTAATTACCAGTAAATAATATTCCTATATTTTTTCACGTTTTACTAGTTTGTCTGTATTTTGGAAAGATGTACGTTGATGATTTCTTAAGATCGTTAAAAGCATACTGTAAATAGATGCGTCAATGATTTTATGATAGATGTCATCGTAATAGATACAATTTTTGTGTCCCAGATACCAGATATTGTCAATTGAATACCTAACACCCACTGGTCTGTGTTATATTTCGTTTATTTATTTATTTATTTATCTATTTATTTATTTATTTAAAAAAACACACTTCATGATTGCAACTGAAGCAGATTAGGACAAGATTAATTTCATAGATGTTCATGATGACACATTGACATCTTTAAGTTACTTTTCGCATTTTTCTTATTCCAATAATACCTTGAAGAAAGCTCAGGTATATCTTTTTGAATTCTAAATCATTCAGTGTTCTCCCAGATTTTATATATCTATTTTATACCAGGCAAGAGTCAGTGTATCTATAAGTGTTTTAAATGCCACGATGAAATTTTGTGTTTGCATACCCATATCTCAACTTTTAAACATGAAGGTTAAAATGCATATTTTCGCTGGAGACAGATTGTTTATTTAGTCGATCCACTTACGAATCATTTGCTACTGTGTACTCTTTCATGTTCAACTAGAAGTAAAATGAATATCTCATATGCGAATTCAATTTTTTGAGGGGCATAAGGTGGGCGCGCACGTTTGCGCAATTTTAAGTGCTGTCAGACGGGATGGTTCCATTATTATTTTAGTAATTCCAGGTGGGGCGAGTACATTCTATTTTAAGGAGTGTCAGATTGTGCCATTCCATTCAATCTTTTGGGGTGTTATGTTGGATGAATAAATTCTGTTTTGAGGGATGTCAGATGGGCCAAGCCCTTTATTATTCTAAGGGAGGCTGGTAGGGTGAGACCATTCAATTTTGCAGGGGAAACAAGGGGTAACAAGTTATCAAGAGGGGTGACAGGTGGGCAAGTCCATTTTATTTCGAAGGGTGACAGGTGAGTCAAGTCCATTTTATTTCGAGGGGTGACAGGTTGGCTGAGTCCATTCAATTTTTGAGGGGTGACAGGTGGGGCGAGTTCATTTAATTTCTGAGGGGTGACAGGTGGGTTGAGTCCATTTTATTTCGAGGGGTGACAGGTGGGGCGAGTTCATTAAAATGTCGAGGGGTGACAGGTGGGCTGAGTCCATTTAATTACGAGGGATGATAGGTGGGGCAAGTTCATTATATTCCTAGGGGTGACAGGTGGGTTGAGTCCATTTTATCACGAGGGGTGACAGGTGGGGCAAGTCCATTCAATTTTTGAGGGGTGACAGGTAGGTAGAGTCCATTCAAATTTTGAGGGGTAACAGGTAGGGTGAGGTCAATCCAGTTTGAGGGGCATTCCACAAATTAATTTAAATTTATAACATCATATAGTGCACATTTTGGACTACGTGCACTTGAAAATTGGTCATTAAATAGATTTTAAAATTCGAAAAAATCAGATGCATATAATACATTTAATCAGATACAGATAATAGGAATTGGAAAGCAAGCCATCAATCTTATACTTTCATTAAATGTAAGCCCATCTCTTGGGCAAACTCAACTAACTGGTGCCATTTACAAAACGTGTCTTACGGTTGCGTTAGAATCTCAACATTTTCGTATTTCAGTTACTTTGTATTCATAGGAGGGTTAAGGTCGTCAATTTGAATCAATTTGCGGTGGTAAAAACCAAAAACCGTCAAAAAAGGATCTGAACTATATACAGAAATTTGGGGAATTTTTTTATTCAGGAGGATGAAAAAATTTATTCTAAAAGATGTTAACAACTATCATGCTATAGTGCAAAATGTATTTGATACAAAATTCAAAACAAGATTTCAAATATATATGATAAATATTGGAAAACTTTTTAGATATACTATTTCAGTGGGTGCAGAATTTTTAAATGCCCACATACATGTACTAGCACCATTATGTAACCGTTAGTAATGTTTACAAAACTTTGGGACCATTTAAATTTTAAATGTCTGCAGGAAAATAGAAAATCATTAATCCCAAAGGCAGATCATATTTAGCAGATTTCATTTGATAGTGGTCAGACAGTTATATCTACACTTATAACAATTTTCATCATAATTATTTCACATGAAAATAAAAGAAAAAAACGCATAGAAATGTATCTATTCAGTTTAAATATGAATGCATGAAAGGTCGTCGGGTTCCTGAAGGCGAACAAAAGGCTACGTCGCTTGCAGTCGCATGTTGTGCGGTATCAGGGTTGGCTTCTGAAATTATTAAAACATTGTTTAACAATTATGCCCAGACTGATAACTCCTCAAATAAATATGGAGGAGAGGAGGGCTTTATAATAGAAATGATGGAGTGCCTTGCGTCTAGAATAAGTACAAGAAAGGACCAAAGGGTAGACCGATAGCTCAAACATTAGGAAAATTCCACATGTAAATAATACTAAAATTATGTTATGAAAAAAATTCAAGTATGAAAAGACCTGGATTCAGATGAATTTTTAACCTGGCCCTTCTGTATCTATCTCATTTATCTCATCAAACTAAAATTTGGCCGATGGAAATACCTCTTAGTCTTTCAATGGCGGAGGTAACAAGTACCGTTTGAGAGAGCAACACTTGCAACACTTGCAAATCATATTGACATATTTCAGAGAAGATTGGAGCCGGTGAATTTTACAGACTGACAAAAGACCTAATTTACTTTTCTTTATTGTATTGAATAAATCAAATATGTAGCCTACGCATGTACAACAACAACAACGATGATAATGAAATTTCTTATAAACCGAGATAAAGCAAATGTCAAACATTGCATCCAAATATCATACATAAAACCTAAAATCATTGAAATTTACCTAGAAAAATTCAAAAATAATAAAAGGTATTGGACTAAAATTGTCCATTAGATTGTTCGGGTAATTTCTTTAGAAATTTTCCTAAAAACCATTGTACATGTGATGGGCATAAAAAGATGCCTCTGCACTGTTGATAAAAGACTCAAAACTGTAACGAGCACTAGTATCTCTACTGATCAGTGTTCGTTGTGGTTATACTAACATTCACGTAAAACATTTAAAATGTACAGGATCACACAAATATTCATGCAGATTTCCTGAGAAAAATTGGAAATTGCAAAGCTTAAGATTTCAATTAAACGCAGGTTTTCGCCAAAGATGTCTAGAAAGGAGTGTGGTTCTTCCTGTTCGTTTTCATTCCCAAAGAATAATTTCTTCATAAACAATATATTTTCATATTCATGCTGAGGTAATAATAATAATAGACATTTATCAATATTTCCCGTGGAGAGATGCATGCACGGCTTTGTCTGATTGACAGATGGAATATAACAAAGACGCGTGTTACAAACATATGTTGTAACTTTTCTTTCCTTCTTCTGCGGTTTTAATACCTAACTATCGTACGTTGAAAAAATACTTACAAAAGGTGCATTTTTGCTTCTGCAACTTCCACGCCTTATAAAAGCTTGAACTTACGACTGCACGACAGATATGTGTATTCTTGAGTCTTCACCTTACGGTGTCCAACTGTCAAGTGACTGGAAGACAGTTCGCACTGCGATGAGCAACATATTGTTATGCAAATAACAACAGGTATAGCTCATTTCAGTGGAGGGGTTGTGGCAACTGTTGTCTATAGTCTATGGTCAGCTCATACGAGTATATGACTGAAGTACGCTTGTTGTTGTTGTTGTTGTTGGATAAGACATTTTATTCCAGAAACCTAACACTTGGTTCTTCCACCATGTACTTTCATTTCCCCATCATTCACCACTTCCACAAAACTCAGTACCACGGGAAATGACTATCAAAATCTTCTCTACCACAATCATAATAACAAAGAGCATGTGAAGGGATACATGTAATTATAGCCTACTACCCGTACAGTACCCTCTACCAGGGCCGCAGTTATTATTGTCCAGGGACGGATTCAGAGATATTTTCTGACAGTCTTCCAAATTATCTTTGTTGATCCATCCTCCATCTTCCAACAGAAAAAATCAGATACCCGTCAATGCAAACTTGAAAATCTGACCGTCTTCCGGAAGACCCAGAAGACGGCCTAAATCCGCCCCTGAATTGTCGACATATTTGCTGAGGCACAGTGCAGATATTAGCCATCTATTTAATCAGAGACATATCTGTTAATATCTATTGAGAAATCAATCTGTGGCCCTGGTAGAGGGTACTCGTATAGTAAGATAAACGTTGCTGCGGTGTAAAGTCTTAGCAGCAGAAACCAGCAGAATATGCTCTTAGAATCGAAACAAGCTTCACTGAAATTTTATTATTTTAAAATCCGATATAACTTAAACGACGACATTTAACTCTTAAAAATATTGGATTATAGGGCCTACTATAGTAATAAGTTCGAATAAGATCAAATAGGATCAAATAAGCCATTATTATTAATCGTATGTGATTTTCAATCGTTTTCGTTTTGATTTCTTGGAACATCACTTCGCCACTGTGTCCTATAGTAATAAAGGCTTAAGTTATGAGCTAACATCGACATGTATATTTAAAGTGGTAATAGTTTGTCTGTATATGCTGTTTTTCACAATACTGCTTTTTATTCAAAGCACCAGTTGTAATCCATTTGACCTCGATGATTGAATCTTCCCAGTTTCTATCCAAAATACAAGATGGAAACGATCCTTTTATTCCTTGTCTTCTTAAATCTTTTCTATCGATAATTTTGACATTGTTCAATTTTCCAAAAAGACTTTTTAAATATAAAGAGATTCGGACTCAGATGAAATTGTAGTTTTTCCCTTCCGTTCTGAATAGATGAACGTCCTGTATTTGTCCAGAACTTTTTGAGATATCTTGTTTAAAAAAAAGGCAACCCAACGTTGTTAAGAACATAACCTCCTTTGTTGGTGGAGGTATGTGAGTCTGTCACACTTAACCGTTTGGTTCGGTCCACGTCAGTGCCATCTTGCGTTGATTTTTCTTCCTTCTTGGTGGAGGAATTGGGCGATCAGACTGATCTTCACTGGGAAGAAGCAATTGACCAGTTGTAATACAGCGACGCAGTTCCAAATTATTTTGAGGCGAATTTCGTAGGCTTGCTCCGCGAATGGGGGACCCTGTAGGCGTTGATCGGGACTCGGCGCCTGTAACTTTGTGTTCCTTGAAATGGGCACAGGTGTCTCTCCCAAGGGGTATAGGTGAGCACGTCCTTAGTCGCTTAGCCCGTAATAAAACACAAGTGGATCTGCTTCGTATGAGGATGTCCTTAATTCGTAACCTCTCAGTTCTAGCTTTTAATCTTACGAAGTCAGCATGTACGGTCTTTGATGTGCGACGCACCTTCTCATCTTTGTGTTTTTCACTTCTTATCAGTTCCTGAGAGAAAATCGGGCTCGAGTTCTCCTTTTCCATACTTAACGCTGTACTGCGCTATACCGGTTTAAAGTTTTTGAAAGTCAAATGATTTAAAACTATTTGCCGTTAACGGCGTCCCAGGGTATCATTTGCCAAGGATGGTAACAGAAACCACTTGACGCGTCACGCTTGCTTGCGGTTCATAGGTAAGAGTAAGTTGTGAATACCTGAAAGCCTCATTGAATAAATGGGCTTGGATTAAGACATAAGCCTACCTTAGTATGCCGAGTCGAGAGAATGAAAATGCCATTTGTGCCATCACCACACACACTTGAATATAAACCTAAACTGCTGAGCGCGGAATTTTACATCTAAAGAGAATTTCTGATCATCTGATAGTGTTTTTCAGGAAACCGGTAATTGTCCTTCAACAACGTCTAATTTAAGTGACCTTTTGGTGTTTAACGAGAGCTGTTTCAATTGCAGCTAGTGGCAATTAAATCTTAACTTGAATTGAATTTAATAAGATTATTTTTATTTTAAAATGAGAAGCCACTCTTGGGATTTTGAGACGCAATACACTTCAAGAAAAGTCGATGTGAAGCTTGGGACCCTCACCCGTCGGCACCCCACCCCATATACATATAGTTATTTCAATCACGTCATTTCCAGCAATCGAGGAAGAAAGAATGACACCTGTATACTTCTTTATGCTTTGTGTGCATTCAATGACTACTTCATACCCTAGTCAACTTTATGCACGCTTGGACGAATAAAACGTTTTTTGTCGTCCAAAGTGCACGTATCTAATTATTTTAATGGTTAGACCCACACACACTTAAATTTTGTTTCCTGTGCGCCTGTTGTCTTATTATTTTTTTTCAAAAGGAAAGCTCTCAAATGGAACCGCCTACTATATGGTTTACGTCAAGGTAAGCCGCGTAGATTTGTTGTTGACTTAAACCTACATCTATAAAAATCTCATTAAAAAGTAACGATATTTTACAAGAAACGTTCAATCGGTTACGACAATCTCCTTTTCCTAATTTTACGACGATATGCATCATCAATATGCCATCATACGGTGAGCATATTTTGATTACTTTTGTGACGGTTTAGCGTGCTA